CTAATTAATCCCGAGGTCAACTACTTAATCTGCATTGATCCGTTCAAAAAAAATAAAATCTGGATTGATTGTCCAGTTAGGCGATAAACCATTACCGGCACATATTTAGGTAAACGGAGTAGATCTGAAACATATATCATGTTATACAGTTTTGTTAGTATACAAAGCTACATTTGTAGATCAATCTAATGCTTGCTCATTGCATAGAAGCTAAGCACCGACAACTGATGTAATTAATTAGAGAGTTAGATTTTTGTGGAAAAGGAATCCATAATTTTTTGATACAGAATTGTATTCTCTTATTAAGAAAATTTTGTCATAACTTCAAGGATAGGCAAAATTGTCCAAGCTCAGCTCAATGTAGCTTGCCAATATATAGCTTCATCATGATGAATAAATTATTAGTTACATTACATGTTTGTGATTTTTTTTAAGGAATAATTGGTTAGCTATATCAATATTCAACTAGCCTTCTGTCCCGTGCAATGCACGGTTTGTTTATAAATATACAATATAAATAATTATTTTTTAATATATGTATATTGGAAAATGAATAATTTATAGAGGAGAAGAAAAGATGGAAATTAAATGTAATTATAGAAGAAATTAAATTGGGGGAAAGTGAACAAAACAACATTCATACATGTATTGAATTTATTTTTTATTTTATTATTTTTTATTTTTAATATGAGAAAGGGGATTAAAAAAAAGAAAGATTAAATGAGGACATGTGGCATTGGGAAAAAAAATAAAATTTACATGTGACAATATAGGGATAATGGTTTGTGTTTTTAAATAGTAAGTATAGATATAGATATAGATATAGAAGTATAGATATTCAACAAATATAATGCTAATATTCAAAATCAAGACTTCGTTTCACCAAACTGTAAGATACTTCATATTTTGAGGAATGAAAAGTTTCATACAAAACTACCATAAGCAATATAGCATATTCCTCTTTAAAAAAACACCATAAGCTTAAATATTAATTAAATAAATAAATGAGCTCCTCTATAAGCCAAAATATTCAAACAATTTTGAAAGGAAAACAAATCATCTAAAACTTGGGTATGTATAAACCATGTCGGAGATGTACTCTCGCAAAGAGCATCGTCACCTTTGTAAAAAAATTTAAACCTCAAAGATGTCATATCATACACACAACACACCCAAATCATGTCCACGGAATTTCCCAAAATTCAGTTTCATCATCGGTAAAATACTAAAATAGATAGCATTCCGGTGACAGTTAGCAGGAGCCTTTGATATATTAGCAAACATTGTCGTGTTATTGCCAACAAATAACGAAACAACTCCCAAACCTTTAACTTTCTCTCAACGTTAAGCTTGTGGACTAGAAAACTATAAGTAGAATAGCCTAGGCGATTATCTTCATCATAATTGTCCAGCTACATTCGAGAGACTACATGCAAATGATCATCAAGCACCACCATATACATCTCTCCCATTTCCGCAAGTACATATCTAAAACATCATAATATGGATCATTAAAGAATTCGTCTTTTGGATACCAACTTTTGCAAAGTGTTTTGTCACGTAAGACAAAAGTCATTTAACTAACCATAAACACGCAACATATGTTAGGAAATTAGCCATACAAGTAATTGTAGGTAATCAAAGTAGAGATATACATAAATCTTAAGAAACCTAAATGGAATTATCAAACAACAAGGACTAATTAAAGTGATAATTAAGTCAAAGTTTGAGGCACTAAATTGGAATTACAAAATCACAAGGCCAACAAAATGATTTTTTTTTAAAAAAAAATTAAAAATAAAAACTTTAGGTCACTAAAGTGGAATTATGTAAATAACCAGACATCAAAGAGGAATTATATCAAACATTAAATAGTTTCCATAATTGAATAACAAATCAAACTACTTATTTCATTATCTGTAAGTGTATGATAAAGACAACAAAATCAATTTTTTTTTTCTTTTTTCTTTTTATTTTTTTGAGAAATTTTTACCATCTATCTATCTATTTACGGAGTATAAACCTATACTAAAGGTGAAACCTGGAATGACACTTGTCATTTCCTGTTTAAAAATTTTCCCGCCTTTTTTTCTTTCCTTTTTTTTTTGCGATATTTTAATGACATTCATTTTATAACTTACAATAATAGTTATTTCCATTTTAACAACATATTTAATCTCATTATACTCAATTTTTTGTACATATATTTTATATTCTAGGAAACTTTTACTTACATAAATACTAAGATAGATTAAAAATAAGGTATTATAATATATCATTTTCCAAGATTATTATAATATTATCAATATCAATTTTTTTTCTCAAGCTTTCATCATTTGACAATAAAATTTATTTTAATTAAAAAATATCATGTGATAGCATACTTTATATAAATCTTAAAATTATATAACGTTTATAAGAACAAAATCTATAAACCTATACTAAAGACGAAACCTGGATTGACTCTTGTCATTTCCTGTTTAAAAATTTTTCCGCCTTTTTTTCTTTCCTTTTTTTTTTTTTTTTTTTTGCGATATTTTAATGACATTCATTTTATAACTTACAATAATAGTTATTTCCATTTTAACAACATATTTAATCTCATTATACTCAATTTTTTGTACATATAATTTATATTCTAGGAAACTTTTACTTACATAAATACTAAGATAGATTAAAAATAAGGTATTATGATATATTATTTTCCAAGATGATTATAATATTATCAATATTAATTTTTTTTCTCAAGCTTTCATCATTTGACAATAAAATTTATTTTAATTAAAAAATATCATTTGGTAGCATACTTTATATAAATCTTAAAATTATATAACGTTTATAAGAACAAAATCATTCTATTATAGTATACATAACATATATTGGAAAATTTAATATAATTACTCTAATATTTATATGATTATTAAAAAAAATAAAAACTCCTACTACTCACTAAAAATATATTAAAAAAATTAATTACGAAATATTGATTATTCTAAAGCAAAATGAAATCAAATAAATTTTCATATTTATGTGAAAATGTGTTAATAATTTAAGGATAGATGTATATTAATTCGCAAATGGGTACAAATGTAAGCTAATATTTTAATTTTATTATATAAAACCTTATAGCTTCTAAATTTATATTATTATATTATTTTTTTTCCAATTCAATAACCTTTACATATTTCAGTATTTGGTATTGGTATAAACTAAAATTCAAGTTATTTTGTTGCAAATAATTTTTTTAGATAAATTAATGTTGAATTTACACCATTATTTGTAATTTATTTATTGTAAAATTTAATTATGACCGTGTATGGCACGGGACTTAACCTAGTTTACTTAATATTGCAAGTGATTATATTATGTGTACTTGTGTAGGGAAGAACCTTCAATGTAATCAATTTCTTAGACGTCTAATTGCTTTATTGCATACTAAGTAGTCCGTACGTACATTAAATGACTTGCTCACTTGCTGTGCATACACTTGTACGAGGTAAACTTATACATCCAACTCTCTTCAAGCAAACCATCTTTGTCATTCTAGCTTTATCAAGCCATCGTCGAGTTCTCCACAGTCCGCGTACAAGCACATTTGAACCTAAACAAATAGAGGAACACATGTTTATATATGCTACACACATCATAGTTGAAAGGCCGGGGTGGATCCAAACTAGTCGCGACCAATGATATACGAAGTATATACTTTTTATGTTCTTTTTTACTTGACCTGTTTTTTTTATCGCGCTTGCCAATGCAAAAATTTAACGATCAATAACTTAAATTCTTCGTAAGTAAAAATTATAAAAGTTATATATTATGATAGTACTTATTGAGACGAATCCAAAAAGAACATACATAAATATATTTTTCCTTACATATTATTTACAAAAGATGGTCAAAGGAGGGGTGGTGAATAATGTAAAAGTCAAAGCGGGACAAGTAATAAAAAATGGAGGAAGTACTTAGTACTAACATCACAAGTATCACAGACTTTTACAATAAGCGTACAACTTATTTTTGTTTATGAGCCTACCATGAACACTAAATGAGAAGAAGAATATTATTATGTTGAGACACCAACAACATTCCAAACCCTATTGGACCCGATGTGTCTAATAAATAGGTCAACTCTGTTTAATTGTATAGCATGTTGCCTGTATGTTACATGACAATCAACATAGGCATAATTTTAAGCCGTACCAACTTGTAGGGGTTGCCCGGTTGTGGAGTATAGTCCGCCATCACCTCCAAATTATACATGATGATCCGATCTACTTAACTAGTAAATTATAAGTCAGTTATTGAACAAGTATACTTCATAAATATCTCTAACTTTTAAGGCATGTTTTGGAACGGAAACACTTTAGATCGAGTAGATCCCTCGTCTCTACCACCCCAAGTTTACGTAGTGAGTCACCTGCATTCCGTGCAGATCAACCGATGAGACTTAGAGGCATAGGTTTCTCCCTCACAAATGTAAAATCTTTAATCACTTCTTTGTAATACAAGTTTGTAACACAATCATTATTAGGGCCACATAACATTTGTCTGAAATAAAAGGGCACTACCAAATACCTAAAAAGCTAGGAAGCCGTACTAAGAAATTTCATGTCCTACATTATGACACATTTTCTTGCAACACCCTCTACTGCAATTAAAGATACCACATTTAATCTGCATATCTTAATGAAAATGAAATTAGTGATATAGTTATAATTTTAAGATGTAGCATGTCCATTTTAGGGTGGATTATTTAGTTAGAGATGACACCATTTCTTGAAGAAGTAAATTCTACGATATTTCTTGTTCTATACTTCAATCATACAAAAAAATTTATCAAACTCCCAGTATTGTAAGCGCATGTCAACTAACTTAATTGGTTGAAAATCAAGAGATAAAATCAAATCTCGTCTACACTATTTCCTATAAGATAGTATCTAAACCACAAATACAATAAACTCGAATTCCAAAACTAATGAACATTGTTAGAAAAATCATGAATTCAACTACTAAAATTGGCTAATCATATGTATATATAATGAATGTTTTAATTTTACAACATGTTTTTTTTTTTTGAAAGAGGAAAAATACACAAATACACAATTTTTTGTATTATATAGGCAAACAACAAAATACAAAATTTAAGATTAAAATGGCAAATTAATAAAATTAAAAACTTACAATAAAATCAACCCAAATCATAATTAGTCACCAAAATCCATATAACAATTTCTCCTTTAACCAATTGAAACTCCTCTTGAATGACCCTTTGACTTTTCCTTCAACAGTATAAGCTCTATAACTTGCAACCCTTTTCTTCCTCTTAAACTCTGGATCACTAAAGCACCAAACTTTCGAATTCGAAAACGTTTTCGATTTCTTCAGCTTATTATCAAATTGATTCTCATAAACATTATGATTGTTGTTATAAATATCATCATTGTTATGGTGATCTAAAGTGTAACTTCTTCGATCATTCCAAGTATTCTTACCGCCACCGTGATAAAGATCAAGCTGTAAATTGTTCGTTGTTCGCTCATACGATGTTCGAGTTTGGAATTCAGCAGCCATGGAAATTTGTGGGTTTTGTTGTGTGGTTGGGAAGAAGAAGAAAACAGAGTATGAGGAGAGAGAAAAGTCTTTGTGTGTGTTTTTATTTGATGATCATGTTTTATGAAAGTTGGTTAGTGGGAAAAATAAGACTAAGTAGTATAAAAAAGCAAGCTAATTCCAGCACTTACGTGTTTTTTTTTATGGGTTGGAAAAGATTTTATGTGTTAGTTTTTATGCAATTATTGTTATCACAATTTTTTTGTTTTTCTTAGGTGACTTGGTCAAAAGGTGGTGAGGAATTTGTGAGGGTATTGTTGCGACTTTGGACTTTGGGTGTAACATTAGACTAGAACAAGGAAAATGTTAGCCTTGCATTTATGATGATTTGGAAAGATTTGTGGAATATGATCTGAATTAGAACAATTGATCTTTGTATTTTTGGCGACGGATCGTAGTTTTTGATTGCCCGCTATATATTTGGTTGTTTATAATGAGTGATTTCCTTCATAAATAAATTTGACAAAACTGATGATTCGACTTGAATTGACTTGAGTCGAATGATTCGATTTATTTTTAAATTTTAATTAACTTTGAAGTTGACGTGAGCTGAAGTTGACTCAACCTATGATAATACCAAAAGCTAACCCAAAACGATTTAGAAAACAAATGTAGCTCAAAATGATACTCTGTATGTCTTCATAACAAATTTGATGCATATCTTTTTAATAAAAAATAATGCAATTTGGAAGCAGATACATAAAGAAGTTGTGCAAATTATATATATGCCTTCGAAAAAAAAAGTTATGCAAATTATATCTTTTGATTGATATAGGGATTGTTAGATTTTTTTTTTTTATTAGAGTTAGCGATAATATTTAGTTGTTATTTATCTTATATTTTGTTAGATACAGTTTAGTGAAAAATAATTATATATATATATATATTTTTCAAAAAAAAAAAATTATTATGTTTTTTTTTTTTTTTGAATAGCATTATCTTTTGTTTTTAGAATATAATATAATTTATATTTTCTATAGAAAGGATCATATTGCTCTAGAGAAATTGATGAGTTAATAAATTGGTGATGAGGCATATGCATAGTCAAGATTCAAGAAGACACACTACTCCACAAAGGATTAATAATCTCCATATTGTGTGTATTAGTTTTTTAATTTACCAAAGAAACCCAAACAACCACTTGAACAAAGAAATTTAAGCATAGACAGTGAAATCCACAAAAAAATTCATTTAAAGTCTTCTTTACACTGCACATATCAAATGGTCTATTACTTGAGAATAAAGAAAACACATTAAAATTAATTCACAATAATGCTACAAATAGATCGAACCTGATTTGAATTTATTTGAATTGACCAATAGTTGAATGAAAAGCCTCCTCATTATACAAACATGAATTAATGTGGAGGTACACAACTTATACTAAGCTGAAAGTATTCTCACCCAAACATGATCTAACCCAACTTGAATTGACAAATCAAACTTATGTAAATATCAATTACCCAATTGTTACCTCTAATTACAAATAAGGAAAATTTGTAAATTACCACCCAAAAAAGGGTCATGTTTTGAAATTACCACCCGTTAAAACTTTTATTTTAAATAACCACCCATTAATTAAATTAAAAAAGTTTTCATATTACCACCTTTTTGTAATTCCGGTGGTAAATCCGTTTGAGGGCCCCACATAACGGCTAAAAACGGTAAATTTGACTCTTTTGAATGTTTCCCTCCTCGATTTTTTTCTTTATAAATTATCCAACATCAATTCACAACTTTTGCCCCAAATTTCATCCAAATTTCCTCATTGCAACTAGTACATGTCTGAAATTTTGGAATTAGGGTTCCTGGGGCAATAAAATTGGGGGTTTTCTGCAATTTTGGAATTAGGGTTCCTTGGGCTTTAAAATTGGGGTTTTTTGCAATTAGGCTACATGTCTGAAATTGTAAAGGGTCCCAGTTGCTTACCTCAGGCGTCGCCATTGACATCACCATATGACAGGAGCTTCACCTACGCGCTTTTAGTCCCTAGAAAACACACCAAGGTGACGACTTCAACAGCAAATGCAAGTACAAATAGGGTCCCAATTTGCAGGAAAAAAAAAGTTAGGGTTTTGATTCAACCCTTAATGAGTAGTTGCAAAGTTGACAGAGAATTAAAGGAAGAAAAGGGGAAAGATTGATGCTTTTGGATGAATTAATTGAAGAAATTGATGAGAGAAGATGTTTTTTTGAGTTTAATGTTTCAATCAGAAGGTTAGGTCGAGGGAAATGAAAAAAAAAAAGGGAAGTTAATAAGGTGGGGCCCTCAACCAGATTTTCCATCGGAATTCCAAAAAAGGTGGTAATCTGAAATGTTTTTTTAATTTAATGGGTGGTTATTTAAAATAAAATTTTAATGGGTGGTAATTTCAAAATAGGACCCCTTTATGGGTGGTAATTTACAAATTTTCCTACAAATAAAATGAATTTGTTGTCTCTTAAGTTATTCTTAATGTTCTTTTTCCTACTCCAAGAGTAATCTAACTTTGAAGTTTTTATTTGGCTTTGGTCCTTTCCACTCCTCATCGACTAAGATCTTATTTAGTCTTCAAAATAATTAGTTCAAGATGCTAATAGGGTATGCCCCAATTCCCGTCGTTTTCCTTACATATGCTAGTAACATTAGGACTCATTAGCATGTACTTGTGTATTAGTTCTTTTTTGAATTTCTAAGAGCATTGACAGTTTAGAGTTTTAACATATGAGGAGGTTTGCTAACTTTAATTTCAGACTAAGGCAGTTGAATTGGCTATCTCTTGATCTCTTCTACAATAGGCCTTTTCCTTAGTTGAAATACTTATAAAAAAAGGAAAACTTGACATTTGCTACCACCGAAAGCACCCTGAATCACATTTGTTGCCCGTTTATAAAAAAAAAAAAAAAAAAAAAAAAAAAAGCAACTTTATTTTGCTACCACCTAAAATCACATAATTAAAATTTCACTACCGCTTAACGAAATCCGTTAAGATTCCGTTGAGTTTATTAAAAATTAAAATAAAACAAAGTAACCCAACCACCCTCTCCCCCACCCTCCTGCCAGCGGCCAGCGCCAGAGCTTTGGCCGGGGTCGGCGCGAACCCACCCCCCTCCTTTCCCCCACCCTACGCAGAAAACCTCCCCTCCCTTTTTCCCTTCTTGTTGCCTCGACCCCCACCCCAAACCGAAAACCACCTTTTTTCCCCACCCCCACCAGATCGGCCCCCTTCCCCATTCTCTCCACCGAAATCGACCCCCTCCCCTTCCTTACCCTTTTCGGCCATCCCTAACCCTAAATTACCACCCCAAAACCATCTCAAGCGAAACCCTAAAATTCGTTTAGGGTGGTTTTGCAGCTGGTGGTTTAAGATTAGGGATGGCCGAAAAGGTAAGGGAAGGGGAGGGGGTCGATTTCAGTGGGGGGGGGGCAGGAATAGGAAGGGGGAGATTTCTGGTGGGGGGAAGGGAAAGGGGGTGATCTACGGTTCGGGGTGGGGACCGGGCAGTAAGAACGGGAAAAGGGAGGGGGGTTGGTTGTGTAGGTGGGGGAAAGGGAGGGGGTGGCAGTTGAGGGGACGGGTGGCAGCGAAGTGGAGGGGTGGTTGAACGGTGGCTAAACCCAACTTAACGGAAACAGTAATGGCCTTAGTCTTTGGTAGTGAAATATACATTTTAAGGAATTGTGTGGTAGCAAAATATTATTTATTTTTTTTAATTTTTTAAATTTTTTTTTTTTTTTAATGTTGTAACGGGTAGCAAATGTGACATAGGGTGATTTTGGTGGTAGCAAATGACAATTTTTCCAAAAAAAAAATTGAGGATGTTCTCTCCATTATAGGGATGATATCAAGATGCACATAATAATTGAGAGGATAGCAAAACGTCATTTTATCTATTGAGTTTATTGATATGGCTTTAGGTGAGGCTGGTGAGCAGGTGAGCCTTGAACGATTGACCCTTATATCTAAGATGATTTTACAGCGGTCACTTGGAAAATTATACACTTGGTTGTATTAAATAAAGTCCAATATAATTATGTTTTTGATTGCGAGCATCCGCTTACAATAACTTCTCTTTTCTTTATACTTTATTTATAACTAATTTATAACTACTTAGATACTTAAAGTAAAATATGTGAATAGTGTATAAAAATCATTGAGGAACAACTTTTAAAAAAAAAAAAAAAGGGGGGGAAGTACTCCGTACTCAATTAGGCAAAACACAAAATTTTTAAAAAATCGGGTGTACAATAATTATTGTACATCCATTATAAAGATAGCATAAAATGATTAAAAGTTACCCCTGAAATGAATAAAAGTTACCCCAATATGCGTAAAAGTAACCCAATTCAAATAAAAATTATCTACGCTTTATTAGTAAAGAATCACATTTTAATTGACTAAAAATCAATTATTAGTGATTGAATGTAATTAAATTACCTCTATAAAACTTTTCTTGTTATCTATTTATTTAAAAATTATATGATGTTTAAAGTTACCCAAAGAAAGGCAAAAAGTAACCCTAAAATTAGCTAAAAGTTACCCTTATACATTAGTGTAAACCGGATGTATACAAAAGTTACACTAGGCAAAATATGTATTTTTTTTTAAATAAAATATACGAAGTATTGTGTTTATATTTTCAAAATAAATATTGTGACAACTTTTGTACATTTTCCCCTACATTTATAAAAGGATATTTTGCTCTGTTAATTTTATTTTTTTTTGCAAAATAACACCTTAAGAAAAAAAAAATGCATGGATTAACACCACAAAAAAAAAAAAAAAAAAGATTTCACCGCCACTTAACAGATGTTAGCAATTTGACTAGGCAATCCTGACCCGACCTGATTGACCCGACTCGTAACCCGAAAGTTGACCCAAAAATGACCCGAACTCGAACTAACCCGACCTGACCCGAACCCGACCCAAATTAGAATTGACCCGATGACGGGGTAAAGTCGTATCCCCTAATCAAAAATAATTACCTAAGTCCTCTAGCTAAAGTAGATAGGGAAGTAGGGTCGAACTCCACAGGGAAACAGGTATTTTTACTTCTAATTAATTATTATAATCTAAATTATCTAAGTAACCAATATTTTTGGGAATAAATTCTATACTACGAAGAATAAGTTTAGGGAGAAAAGAAACAATAATAAGGAAGCCTAGGGTCACAGGTTCACCAACAATTAATATTCCGGGATAGAACGAAGTAATTAATAATCAACAATGCACAAATAACATGATTAACAGGCTCTCGCAATTTACTAGATCTAATTTCCTATTAAAAATAACCTTTAATATTAAATTAACATCTGCTCGATTCATCAATTCAATATTGCTAAACATTCACAATCAAATTACATCTGCTCGATTCATAATCTAATTGCAAAGAATTAAAACAATTCAATAAGAAATTATCATGCAATATCAATAATCAATATTAACAAACTATCCCTTCATATTAATTATGGATCCCCATAAACCCTAGAATGAAACTACTCACAAATCATCATAACTAAGCCAATCAAGTAAATAAGTAAAAGCATAATCAAGAAAGCAATTAAAATAGTTTAAATTAAAAGGGAAGAAATTGTACCAAAAATAAATCTGGAATTAAAGGAAGTATTAAGAACAAAAGTTTAGAGAGAATTTAAGAGAGAGAAAAATACTAAGTAGAGAGAGAAAGTCTAAGAAAGAAGGTAATCTAATAATTCCGTACAAAATCGTATTTAAACGTTTCCTAAAACAAGAATTAAAACTAAACTTAATCAGGTCTTCCAGAAACGCGCACCCGATCGGGCAAAGGGCCGCCCGATCGGACGCGCCTTTTTCTTCACGTTCCTATCCAGCAGCATCGCCCGATCGTGCTAGATGTAGCCCGATCGGGCGCGCCTCAGCACGCTCAGCCTACTAGTCTTGCCGTGCCCGATCGTGCTAAAGGTAGCCCGATCGGGCGGTTGCTTCTCCTTAAGGCTTGGACTTCGATTGGGCTAGATTTCTCGGCCCAATCCGGATTTCCTCTCGGATCTCGAATACTTGGTCCAAATGCCTCGGGATCCCAATTACCGAGCCCTTAATCACCGGCTCTCACCGATCCTGGGCTCCAAAAGTGGTCGTGTCCTTCTAGCTTACGTAGTTGATCCATAAAGCCCGGGAAAATGCTCTTAGAGTGCAATTTCTTGTAAAATACAACTAAAACTACGAAAACACTAGAACACACAAATTAGTAATAAAAGTGGCCCGAAAGAGCCAAAAACACTACTAATAACGACCAAGGGACGGGGGTAAAACACTATATAAAATGGACATATCACCCGACATAAATGACCTGACCCGAAATTGACCCGAAACCCGAACTTGACCCGACCCAAAATGACCCGAAACCTGAAGTGACCCGACCCGATTATAACCCCAAATTGATTGACTCGAATCGACCCAACCCGTAGTGACCTGATCTGAATTGACCCGAATCCTAAGTGAATAGGGTGAAATAGTGAATTACTTAGTTTAGGGATTCTTTATTTCCTACGTAATAAGTACTCATGTTTTTTTTAAAATTTTTTTAACGATTTTACTTTATTTTTTCAACAATTTTTTTTAAGTGAATTTATTTTGGTGACCCAACACAAACTTGACCCAAATAGACGCGACTTGAATTGACTCGATCTAAATTTGACCCGACCTGAAATTGACCCGGAAATTGATCTTAAAAATTGACCCGACCCAAACAGATCTGACCCAAACTTAACCTGACCCGAAACCCGAATCAACCCGACCCGAACATTTGCTGACCCGAACTTGACTCGACCCAAACCCGACCTTAATGACCTGTTTGACAGGTCTATTAGCCACCACTCCTATAGCCAGCCACCCTAACCCCTACCGCCGGGAGCCCCACTGCCGCCAAGCCCATCTGCCGAAATCACCGCCTTCCCCGAAGCACCCTAACCCACTGCCTAAACACCCTAGCCCATCCCCGAAACATCCCAACCCAAAGTTTGTCACCTCACAACCAAAAGATTGTGGAATCAAAATATCAAACCCCATTAGAGACAATTTGGGATGACAATTCCTTACCCTTCCTCTCACTCCCAATTTGTCTCACAGTACATTAACTAGATTAAACCCCGTGCAATGCACGGTTGTTAAATAATTCTAATGACAATAAATTTTACCAAAAATAATGGATATAAATATTATAAATAGACTTAGTAGTAAAAAGTATGAAATATTGTGAAAGAAATTAATTAAACATGTAATAGTTATAATGGGCAATTTGATATTTAAGGACATTTATTTTAGATTTTATACAAACTAAAAGTCATAATTTAATTACAATAAATTTTTTTTAGTAAGTGGTTTTGGAGGGAAAACTTTTTATAATATTTTGCCAAGTGTTCTCTAAGTTTCGCCTTTAGTATAATGTAATTGACTTGTGTCGAGTTAACCTATGATAGATTCCGACCTGGTAAAGCCTTCTCCCTTCCTATCGTTTTTTTTTAAAAAAATTAACATCAAAAACAAGATAGGACGTGAGTGGACATAGTTAATTACTTAATTCAAATGAATCTTTCATTCTATGGTTAAAAATATTTGTGTACTAAAAAAAACCAGATTCCCAAAAAACTGACGTACTAATAAAAAACTTATTTTTAAAGTTGCCTTAAAAAACTGGGATATCTAAAAAAAAAAAGTAAAAGTCCTAAAAAAAAATATGGGAATGTTTGGTCTTACAATCATAGGACAGTCAAGTATAGGGTTATTACCTTCTTCAACCCACAAAGACTCCTCCAACCCAAATCATCACCCTCTTCAAATTCAACCTTTTCAATTAAAATCAAAAAGTGGGTCGAATTTTTTTCAATTAAAAACCAAGAAAAACCCATATTTTTGCATAGTTAAGGCATCAACAGAGGGCACAAGCATGTCAACTACAATCGAGAAATTGGGTGTTAAAATTGAAAGGAACCCTCCTGAGTCTAGGCTCTCTGAGCTCGGTGTTCGTGATTGGCCTAAGTATATTTCTCTATCTCTCTTGTTATTTAATCTATTAATGGTTATATCTATGATAATGTTTTAAATTTTATTATAACTTATTTTCCTTTGTTATGTTATTTGGATTCTTCATAATTAATTATAGTCGTGTTAGAATTGGCACTGTTATGTGGGGTATGAACACTATGATCCCGAAAACATTTCATTGAATAGCCGAGTTTGACATTTGGACAGGTATTGGAGTCTTGTGAGACTTTGAGTAGCTATGTCATTTTGAGTTGCTTATGAAGCTTTATGTGTTCAATGTTGAAACACTTTTTGAGGGTTTGGGTGGAATGGGTTTGCATTATTTTTTGGAAATTTCATTCTAGTGAAATTAAGTTTAGTACTATATGAATGAAATAAATGAAGCTACTGTGTTTAATAGTTTAAGCTCTATATTAGTAATTTGTAAACATGTCAAAATTGGATAGAATATGTAATTTTGAAGTGATACATGTATTTTGGGTTTGAACAAGAGATATTTTTATATTGTATAATTTGTGCATAACATAATTACCCATGATTGATTAACGATTATAGACATGGGAATATGGGATTTTGAGTAATTGAGCTTGTTGATATATGTTGGTGATCTTGATATATGTTGTTGGATCTTGATATATGTTAGGAATCTTAGTATATAGGTTGGTGATCTTGGTAATGTTCACTAAGATGAAATTGCTCTAGAATATGAGTGTCATTGGTTGTCTTTTTATAAATGGCGCTCCAATATTTGGGTTAATGATCAGCATTTCGAGGTAGTAACATTTCTATGAGATTTCTTAAAGTGTCGTTTGACAATAACATCTTTTTTGATTCATTTTGTAGTATTTTATTGCAGATTTTCAGAGATCGAGCATCTCTGGAAACTAGTATTATGTATACAGGCTTCAGTTTTGTGTTAACATTATGATCTCAGCATTTACTGATCCTTTTATGTCATCAAATGCTAATGACTTGTTAACAATGGTACTCTCATGTGAAGCCTTTACGGCTTATAGAGTCTAGTGTAGACGTTATTGATTAGACTTTGGATTTACTTTCATTCCCTCAGTGATTAGGGTACTTGTAGCTTACTAGTTTTGTCTCAGTGCATATTTTTTTCTTCTTAAACCATACTCCCTCAAGTGATCAAGCCTCATTTTCTCAACGCACCTATATTTAGGAGAGTTTAATAAAATAAATAGATAGTAGGTTTTGCTTGATTAAAGGTGAATATAACAAGATGATAATGGGGTTTGGTTGTGGTGAGTAAAAGAAGATATTGAGATTTCGTTGATTAAAGATGGATAGAATAAGAAGATAGTGGAGTTGATTAAAGATTGATTTGAAAAAAAAAAAGAAAGAAAAAGAGATAGTAGGGTTTTTTGGATGTAAATGTGAATTTTGTAAAACAAATAAGCTAGTAGAAAAATATGAGTTTTACCTTTTAAACAAAAGACTAGATTTTACAGTGAAATGAGACTTTTATTTAGGGACAAACTTGATTTAAAAAGCGCGCCTAGGCGCGCCTCACTCCTAGGCTCTGGGAAATGGGCTTTAGCTAGGTAAGGCTCGGTCACCTACGGAAGGCGTGTGCCTCGTGTGCCTCAAAGTGCCTTTGGTAAGGCGCGCCTTTGCGCCTCAAGGAAAATAACTAAGATTTAAGTTATAAATTGAAGAATGATAGACATTTTTTCAAATTCAGACTACCTTAGCTTTAAATATATCATTACTTAATTTATTATGAATCTTTTCAATTGGTATTAAGTACTATCAAAGTAAAAAATCATTTGAAATACATATATAAATACATGCGCCTTGCATACAAAAGGCGTGCGCCTTCGCCTTGCGCCTAGGTTGCGAGGACCATTTGCGCCTTGGTGCGCCTTGCGCTTTTTAAAACTAAGGGGACAAAGGAATTATGCAAGAAAGGTGAAGCAGATCAGAGAAGAAGAATAACGACATGTAGATTGTGTTTTATTAACAATGTGCTAGTAGGCTAAGCCAAGGGGGTGATAATCTTATTAGGATTTGAGTAAGTAATTGTAAAACATGTATATTGATTAGGTTTTGAGGAGTTAAGTGTACAATGCACTTATCGACTATGAGAATACACATACAGACTAGGCCCAAAATAGGAATATAATATAAAGCCAAATCAAGTTGAAATTGTATTATTAATTTTTTTGTTGACAGAGGGGATTACTTAATTATTTACTTGAGTATGAGTGTCTATTTTAAGCACTTTAATCTAAATTACTCTACCTTTTTCCCAACATAATAAGGAATGTTTGAGTATCAGGAGCTTCTTAATTTATAGATTTATGTACAGTTATTTATTTTTGGTTATCATGTAATGTGTTTTCTTTATCATCATATAGGTGGGGTTGTGCTCCTAGTAAGTTTCCTTGGACTTATGAAGCAAAGGAGACTTGCTTTCTGTTGAAAGGAAAGGTGAAGGTTTATCCTGATGGTTCCAGCGAAGCTGTTGAGTTTGGAGCTGGTGATTTGGTGGTGTTCCCAAAAGGTATGAAGTGTACATGGGATGTCTCAGAAACTGTTGATAAGCATTACAACTTTGAGTGAGCTTACAGATACAAGCCTGTGAGACTGTATGCAAATCCTTTCTAAGCCTCTACATAGAAGGTATCTTGTATACCCTGATTATACTATCGTCATGTTGCTCAATAATCATGTTAAGACTGCTCTAGTTGCTTTGGAAGTAATTGAGATCAGTTAAACTATTTGTATTATTCTGTTATTATGATGATGTCCCAAATCTTTTCATCCTTTTCTAAACGAATAAAATGATGAAACTTCTCCCTCTTCTCTAGATAAGTCATCTTTAGTGGAACGCTTAGGATTCAAGAACAGCTAAGGGGAGAGGATGCATAGGAAATATTGTCTTAATCTGGTCAGAAACATTGACCTTTTCTGAACTGAGTTTTGCTAGGCCTCGTTCTGTTAAACTTAGATAAGTTCAAATGAGTTAAGTTCAGACAGATTAAGTTTTATTAAAATCAACTTAAGTTATGACACCCAAAAGAAAGTTCTGCTACAACGAATTCTGTTATAGTGTAAATAAGTTTGGTTAAGCTCAAATAAAATAAGTCAAATAGAGCAAAGCTTCTGTTTCTGTTTCTTTTTATTTTGTTTTGTTTTTTGTTTTTTTTAGCTGAGCATGTATATTGCTTTTCTTTCTTACATGCTTGGGGTTATTGAGTTGGTCTGCACTCTGCTCTCCCAACAACAAATCAATGGCCTTACATAGTACGAACTAATTTTAGTTGTACTTTTTGAGTTTCCCTCATTGTCGGTGTTAGAAGAGGGTCATCATTCCTATCAAACTGGTGAGAGTTATGAGTTTGACGTAGATTTTTTTTTTTTTCTTCACTTGTTCATTAGGCTTCCTAGCCACCTAGGTGGTTGAGACTTGAGATGAGTACTGATGAAAGGTAAATTATATAATTCCTTCATAAATTCTTGTTTTGGATGGACTGGAATAAATCCTAATGCAAGCTGAGCTCCAAAGTCAATTGATTGACGTTAAGAAACAAATCATACATTATTATAATTTTTTTTATGAGAGACACAAATCATAAAATAGGCCTTTGACTATCTGCTTTTAGAGCTAAACCTATGATTTTATCTGTTTAGAATCGTGTTCTGATTATCAGTTATTTGCTCAACAAGAACAAAAGTTCTGAGTTAAGAAGGGGGATTACTCTGATATTCTCTGCTGCTTATTTCAAGTCTCTCACGATTGTAGCTGGTAGCATATGCATATCCACAATGTAGTTGAGTAAGCTTTAGTCACTCTCTTGGTTCTCTGAATGAGCAAATCTGTATATATAATTTTCAGAATTTTGTGTTGCTGACCTTTTTCAGCTTTAGTGATTATTGCATGTTTGTGTTAGTTGTATACCTTTTAGCATGTTTCTGGTGCCATAAATTTCCTCACATGCGTTAATTTCGATAACACTGCTTGAACAAGAAAACTACTTGTAAATGTGATTAAGCAAAACAAATTTAGTAATTCCAATGCTATATAAAGACATATTTGATACATAGTATGCAAATTTCAGTACAAAAGTTAAAGAGGGAGGGAGTCACTACACATCTGCACTGACTTGTTTTACATAAACTCTCGAGTTCTTTACTAAGCATATACTTGGAGTACATTCCAACTTAGTAAGCTGGCTATATAATAATGTATGCTGCTAATTGATAGAATCTTTATGCTGTATACCCTGCTATTCCCCTTAGGTTATCTTCATATATTAAGGCCAGGCATATTAGTTTCCGTTTTTGGCTGGAGGTTTAATCTGGGTTTTTTTAGCTGGTGTTTGCTTCTTTTCCCTGCTTAGGGATGAGGAACGAGTTTCTGGGGGGAACGGAAATTCTGGAGGGAAGGGAGAGTAAGGTGGGGAAGGAAATTCTGGAGGGAAAGGAGAGTAAGGTGGGGAAGGAAATTCTGGAGGGAAAGGAAAGTAAGGCGGGGAAGGAAATTCTGGGGGAAAAGGAGAGTAAGGCGGGGAAGGAAATTCTGGAGGGAAAGGAGAGTTAGGTGGGGAAGGCAATTCTGGGGGGAAAGGAGAGTAAGGCGGGGAAGGAAATTCTGGAGGGAAAGGAGAGTTAGGTGGGGAAGGAAATTCTGGGGGGAAAGGAGAGTAAGGCGGGGAAGGAAATTCTGGAGAGAAAGGAGAGTTAGGTGGGGAAGGAAATTCTGGGGGGAAAGGAGAGTAAGGCGGGGAAGGAAATTCTGGAGGAAAAGGAGAGTTAGGTGGGAAAGGAAATTCTGGGGGGAAAGGAGAGTTAGGTGGGGAAGGAAATTCCGGAGGGAAAGGAGAGTCTGGCGGGGATGGATTCAAAGGAGGGGAAGGAAATTCCGGAGGGAAAGGAGAGTCAGGTGGGAAGGGATATTGAGGTGGGGTAGGAAATTCCGGAGGGAATGGAGAATAAGGGGATTCTGGGGTAAAAGGGAAGTCTGGTGGTGGAGAAGGATTGACAGAGGATGGTGTTATTGGTGTAAAAGGGGTATTAGACGGGGGCTCACAGGAAGATGTAGGTGTAGGAGCCAATGAGGGTTGGACTTTAGGCTGTTTTGGTAATGCCTTGCGTGATGATAGCTTCGTTTCAGCTGCAACTTGGGCAGGAGAACCTAAAAGGATCAAGATTGCAACCAGAAGCAGTGGCACAGCCAAAGAAGAGAAACTGAAGGCACGTGAAGCCATTGTGTTTGGGTATTGTGTTTACCAGTTTGCTGTGTGTTATGTTGTAGGTTACAAGTGTTAGAAGTACCTGTATTTATAAGGGCAGGAAGGTAGACTGATTCAGAGTACGGGTTTGTCTTCTACAAGAGACTTGGAAATATAGATGCATTGGAGTAAATTATGGGTTTGTCTCCTGCAAGAGACTTGGATATATAGATGCATTGGAGTAAATTATGGTGTTTAATGGCCTCAATTTTCTATCTAGTTTGAAAATCAAGCTAGAGTTATTTAGTAATTATTCTCATTCTCAAGTCTTAAGCAGGTCTATTACGTTGGTCTTTCCTCTAATGTCTTTTGTTAAGAATTATTGACCTTAGCTAGCATGGTGAAAATAAGGATTCAGATTCAATTAGTTGATTGATTCCAAATCATGGAAATTTTTAGTAGGGAACATGTGGATGTGTGAAGTTTTGAGCTTGAAATTTCATCCCTAATACTTTTGAAAATATACACCTCCTTTCTCACAAAGGCACATTGTTTCACGTCTCCCCATTACTCAATTTAATGTAGTTTATATGTCTATAATCTCAAAATGGACTGAGTATATGAATAATTAAAAAAAGTTGTTCTAAAAATGCTTTTAAAATTTTACTATTTCACCCCCACATGGAATTAATAGTTATACTCTATGGTGCAGAAAATGCCTCGAGTAGCTACTTTGAATTCAATTAGATAAACAAGAAAATCCGTTCAAAAAAAAAAAAAGATAAACAAGAAAATACTCCTAGAGTTCAGAGTATTTTATTATAATCGAAAGTTGAGATTATTAAAGGTAAGTTAACTAAATTTTAGATTATTTTCTTACTACATGTTTTTTTAATTTTAGATTATTTTCTTACTACATGTTTTTTTTAAAGGAAAATGTCTCGAGTAGCTATTTTGAGTTTAATTAAATACTCTAGGTTGTTCCACAATATATTTACCAATTACTCTAGGTCTAATTTGAGAAGTTGAGAGGGACAATTTTTCTTTAGTAATGTTTTAAGCAGGTCTGATACATAGGTCGTTCATCTCATTTCTTCGTTGAGGATTTCTCTAAGGGGTACATTTGGCAATATAGCATGTTGAGGGCAAGAATTTAACTTAAATAATTACCGAACTAGTTGCGTTGTTTGCAATTTTATATGAAATTGTCATTGTAGGACAACTTGACAAGGATTCTTTAACTAAATATTTTGGGGTGAAGCAAGGAGAGTTTAAATGGAGAGATAACTAACCCTATGTGTTACATGTGTTAATATATACACCTAGGTGTACCGTATACCCGTGTTCATTTGCTCATTTAATTAAATAAATGAGTAAATTATATTTTCACTTATTTGTTGGTTGAATGAGCAAATGACACAGGACACCCGCATGTATATAATAACACCCGCATGTATATAATAAGGCTCTCTTAATGGGTGGATGGACTCTTCCAATGCTTTGTGTTTTAAGTTTTTAACAAAGTAAAATACATTGTGTTTTAGCAAATAATGAATTGCAGAAAACAGAATACACCAAAGAGGTAATGATAAATTTGTTATAATATTTTTTTTACTAAAAATATATTATTTAAATATATCAATAACAATATACTAAAAGACACACCAGCAATGACACATGTCATTTTCTGGTGTGTCCTTAGTATATTTTTTTTTTAAAAAATAAAAGTATTTAATAATTGACAAAAAATATACGCAAAATATTTACTTTCAAAAATCGTATAATAATATATTTATTAACTTAAATATCTAACCATATCTTTGCATAAATAAATTCCTATATTAGTGATTACTTTTTTTTTTTTATAAAAGTTGAAAAACTGTGCATGGCATAGGATCTAACCTAGTTAATGACTAAAGTAGTGCATTGTAAAATCCATTGATCAACATTTTTCATTTAATTTGAAACAAAATGACTACAATATTGAGCAATATGCTGGACTTATTTAACATGGGCCCAGCCTTTAAAAGTATGGGTTTATGTTAGATTTTTCAGCTTGAATTTGGGAAAATTTTCTTAGGTATTGGTCATCATTTCAACTCCAAAAATGTATTTCAAGACTTCTTTAGGCTTTAGGCTTTTTGGCCCCAAAATTTCTTTTTTTTTTTTTTTTTTTTTTGTTTGTTTGTTTAGAGTTATATGTCCCTTTATTGGTTCTCTTTTTTGTTCCTTCACTTGACTAAAATTATTCACCAAACGGATCCCAAAAGTAAACTACAAGTATAAAGTCTTTGTTAAAATCAAAAGTTTTAAGTGAATAAAATTTTGGGGCAATGGCATCCAATGCATGTAAACCACTTTCATGAAGTTTTCGTTTAATTTTCATCTTCGGTTAATTCTTTTTTTTTTTTACTTGTTTATTATGCTCACTCTACATTTTTTTTCACACTTCTTTTTATGTATGAAATGTATCTATAGTACTACGCAATAGAGTAAAATATAGATAGAAGCTAAGGGTGTCAAAAGCACACCCGACTTGATTTGATACAAAATTGACTTAAAACTTAGATTATAATTTATATGGACACAATAATTTAACATGACTCGAGTTTAAAAACAGACCCTACCTAATTGACTCCCAATTGTTCGTGTACATAGATCTGTAGACTTTTGTTCAAAATATGTACGTGCATTTTAAAAATTGAAAGCAAAGCAGAAATGTCACCTGAGAAGATGAAATAAACTTTTGAAGTATCCAAAGTTTAAAATTTGACTACATACTCGTAATAATTTAAAATCACATGCAAATAATAAGAAGAGTCAATTTATGAAAGTAAATGAAAGAGTTTAAAAGCTTCTCTCCAAAAGAGAAAACATGCGAGTCAGCACATGGCTTATGCTTTGCATATACATCACGTTCACATTTATTTACATACCACCCAATACCTTTTTTTAAATACCCTTTTTATAAATACTTTAAATCTTTAATACAGTAGTATGAATAATAAATAAATAAATATTACCTCCGATTTTTATGTTTGCAAATTTCAAATATTTTACATTTTATAAATAATATCCAAAGTTGCAAAAACCAGTAATATAAATCGGAGGTAGTACATGAATAAATTAAATATTTTTTTTTTTTGGAAAAATATAAAAAAAATTTACTACAAAGTAAATTGAATAAATAAATTTAAAAAGACTTGATTTGATTTTTAAATATTTAAAAGAGATCAGCGGCTGAGATATGATGAAATCAAAATTCCAAGAAATAAATTTACCTTGATTTCGATGATGTCAATTAGAGACAGAGACACTGCATTGCATGCGGTCCCAATTTTACTGTTACATTAAGCAAAGTAATTAATTTTTAATTACAAAAAAATAATAAGAGTCCAAAAAATATAGATTTATTGTCGATTTTTGTGTCTTTTAGTGATCTTTTTGAAGATTTTCATATTTTTACAAGTAACTGACAAAAGTGGTCGTTTCCTTTTCATTATTTCAACGAGAAGAAGTGGGAGGATCTGTCTTGCCTTAGGTACTCTTTGTACGTATTTTGAATTTCTATTCTATCGTATCCGTATCAAGATGGATTATACTAAGTACTCCGTACGTAGATAATCTATTGTACTCGTATATTTAGGGCGTGTAAGGCGCTAGCTTTTGAGTAGCTTTTAGGTAGCTTTTAGTGGTTTGACCAAGTCAAACCACCACTCAACAAAAAATGTGAGTGTTTGGCAAAGTAATGGTTCAAGTAGCTTTTAGTGGTGGAGGTAGCTTTTATTAAAAGCTAGGCTTATTAGCTTTTGAATTAGAGGTAGCTTTTGAAGTAGCTTTTGAAAATTTAATGTATAGTTTTAAAAATAAAATATTGATTCTTAAATGTAACAGCTAGTCAACCACTACTTTACCGAACAATCATACCTAAATTATGTTTTTTCACAGCTAACAGCTTGTTGACAGCTAACAGTTATCTCCACAGCTCACAGCTATCTCCACAGTTAACAGCTATCTCCATAGCTAACAGCTATCTTCATAGCTACATTTTGCCGAACATGCCCTTAACTTCGTTGAAAAACTATTTTAATTAAAATAAATTTTAATAATCTCTAATAAATACGGAGTAAAAATTAGGTGAATATAATACTCTTAAATTACCTTGGTATAGTATAGTGGTATATTTAGACACCAACCTATCTTCAATACCATGTCCCGTAAAAAAAATAAAAATAAAAAAAACTTCGATACAATGTAGGCATGTAGTAAGAATTTTGTGCTTTTTTTTTCAATACGGAGTACTTCTTTAATAAGGATGTGCCTTACTGAATATTTTTGTATTTGATGTACTCCATGATGTATGATGATATAATGTTTAAATACAATTACTAGATTTTTAATTTTTAATTTAGGAATTTAAAAATAAATTAATTCATACTCCGTATTAAGGCCTGTTCTCATACGTTGAAATTCAGTTCAGTTCTGCTCAGTTCAGTTCAACTCCTAATTTTTTTCTCTTATAAAATATTCATTTCAGTTCAGTTCAACTCCTAATTTTCTTCTCTTATAAAATATTCATTTCAGTTCAGTTCAATTCAGTTCAGCTCAATTCAGTTCAGTTCAGCCGAGTTCAGTCAATGAGAACATGCCCTTATTTTTAAGGGTAATGTTATATGTAGCCCTAAGGGCTATATAAACATTAAATATACTTTTGGAAATTGTATAAAATTAGGAATTCATGACAAAAACACGCGTAAATCAGTGTTATTAGTGTTTATATTTTGATGATTTCTTAACTTTTTACGATTTTTAAGTATAAATTTAATGCTTATATGTAGCCCTAAGGGCTATGTATAACATTTTCCTATTTTTCATAATCATATCGAAGTGACTCTAATCAAAGTACACATTCTTTACACTTCAATGAAAGAAAAATATTCTCCAATATGTTTCAATAAATTCTTTTGTTGATTCATTTATATAACAATCAAACTTAAATCATTGCTACAATAAGTCAATAAGGCAACCATGCTTAGTACATTTATTAATCTTAAATTTTTCTTGTAAAAGAACAAACATAAATGGAGTACGGAGTAGTAAATACTCATAATAAAATATGCATCACCCCTTAAACATATAATTGAGGAGACCAATTATAAACTAAGGTTCATTGCATTAACAAGTGTTCAAATCATCTACTACGTATTTTAAATGTTATTACTTCAGATAACTTACTCAAAAAAATTTAATTTCATCTTAAAACCATATGAGCAGCAATTACTCGTAGTACCACGGATTATGTATTTGACTCGGCTCAAATTCGAATTAGTCGAAATTCAAGTGGAGTACATTGTAAAGAATCAAATGAGTTACTCCAATAGGATAAAAGTTAAAACCATAGTATAGTCCACTGCAAAAACAACCTGATACTACAAAAAAATAAGCGGGGTGTTACAGCCTCGTATCCGTTACACCTATTTTTCAAAATTCAAACAATTTTCTCTCTCTAAAACTTGTTTCTCTCTCTTCTAATCCCATTTCCTGCACATTACTCCACAACTCCCCACTAAACTAAACCCAAATACCCCACTTTCTTCCTTCTTCATTGTTTTATCCAAGATTTCAAACTTCCCTTTTTCTCTCTCCTCTCAACACTCTCTCAGTAATTGGCACTACATTACAATTTGATTTAATTCTCATTGGCTCAGTTTCTGCCTCCTCTGTTTTCTTCCTTTAACAACCTCTAATTCTCTCTTCAATTACAACATTTCCTATTTTTCTCTCTCTTCAAAACCTTCACTTCTTCCTCTTCAAATTTACAAAAAAGGGTTCTTTTTAAACTAAAAATTCACCCATCAAATCTTTACTTCTCTGTTCACAAAAAAATCCCCTGTTTTTTTTACTCTGTTTTCTCTAAATGGGTGCTTCTGGAAAATGGGTTAAAACCCTTATTGGGTTCAAAAAACCAGACAAAGATGATCATTCCCATGTAAATTTTACAAATTTCCCAGAATTTTATTGATTATTTTCATTTGTTTGATGAAAAAAGTTCTGATTTTTGATGTTTTTTTTTGTTTTTTTTTAATAGGAAAAATCAGGGAAAGGGAAGAAATGGAAGTTATGGAGAACTCCTTCAGGAGATTTGAATACATGGAAAGGTTTCAAAGGTCGTCATAAGACAACAGCTTCAGAGGGTTCGGATTCTCCGTGTCGAAACGATGCGTTTAATGCTGCTGTTGCTACTGTTGTTAGAGCTCCTCCTAAAGATTTTCGTGTTGTTAGGAAAGAATGGGCTGCTATTCGTATTCAAACTGCTTTCCGTGCTTTTTTGGTAATTTTATTTCTCACTCATCATTGTAATTTATTATATCATGTGGGTTATGATTTAGTTGTCGCGTTACTACTTCAAATTACACGGTCAAGGTGTCAATGGAACTGACATGAGAATAGTTTAGTCATGAAATAAATTCAAAATTATTGTATTTTTATTCCATGGTACAAAGTGATTTTTACTCTAAGTAGAAATGTTGAGTGGCATTTTTCGGATGTTGAGGTTAAAACATACTCCCTCCGTTCCTAAATTACATTCTTACTTCTCTTTATTATACGAGGAATAAATGCTAGGAGGAGGAATGTAATTTAGGGACGGAGTGAATAGTGTTAAATGCACATTTATTCATGTTGTGCTAAGCATATTGCAGTAATGTAAACTCATATTCAGGTTGGATGTGTTTGAATTTAAACTTGTACAGTGTTTTAAGAGAAAAGGATTTATTAATTACTAATTGTGAAATTAATTCTTGATTATTACTCCATTATTATACAGTATGCTGAATATAAGAAGCAAGGTTAGCTAGATTTTAGGAAATGCAGCTTTTTAACTGGTTTGGTTGTGATAAAATTTGACCAAAAAATTTTCATTAGGCAAGAAGGGCTTTAAAGGCATTGAAGGGAATTGTGAGGCTGCAAGCTCTAGTTCGAGGGCGGCAGGTTCGTAAACAAGCTGCTGTGACACTGAGGTGTATGCAGGCATTGGTTCGGGTTCAGGCACGAGTTAGAGCTCGTCGTGTAAGGATGTCAATCGAAGGACAGGCTGTACAACAGTTGATTGATGAACGACGTACCAAGACTGAACTCTTGAAACAAGCTGAGGTTAAATCCTATTAGTTTTGATCTAAATTATAGAAACAAATTGTTGGGTTTTTTGAAATTTTCTGATTTGCGTAATTTGAAAATTTTGTAGGAAGGATGGTGTGATAGTAAAGGAACATTGGATGAAGTGAAAACAAAGTTGCAAATGAGGCAAGAAGGAGCATTTAAAAGAGAAAGAGCACTTGCTTATGCTCTTGCTCAAAAGGTATTGATCTACTAGTCTTTTCGACTTGCATTACTAATGCTAATGTATCGCGATTTATTGTGTATACTGATAGAATGTATCTGAATTTGTTCAGCAATTGAGGTCATCACCCTTTTCAGGGTTTAAAACAACCTTTTCAACCCCTTCCCTTAAGGGCTATGAAATCGACAAGAGTAGCTGGAGTTGGTTAGAGCGTTGGATGGCAGCAAAACCATGGGAAAACAGACTGATAATGGAAGAAGTTAATAGTACAGTATCTGAGGTGAAAACCCCACCTCCGAAAGCCTTTGTGAATCCCTTTAAAGAAACTTGCCTGAAATCTTCTGATCTTCAGTGCCAAGTTAAGGTCAGAAAGAACAATATGACAACTAGAATCTCAGCTAAACCACCCATGATGGCTCAAGGAACGTGGTCATCTTCTAGCCCAAGTTCAGAATTTCCTTATGATGAGAGCTCGGCTTCCTCCTCTATGTGCACCTCAACAACTCCAATATCAGGGAATGAAGAGAGTGGTGGGAATAATACTAATTGTAGCAGGCCAAGTTACATGAACCTCACTGAATCGACGAAGGCTAAGAGGAGAACTCAAAGGGCACAAATGCAGTCTATGGATGAGTTTCAGTTTGCAAAGAAACTTGCAGGGTTCTCAAATGGAGATTCTAAGAGTAGCGCGGGCTCTGATCCTCCATCTGTCAACTTCTCTAGGCCGCTTAACTTGCCTACTAGTCGATTGGAGAAGAACTTGATGAGGCCAAGGGAAAGAGAGAACTACTTGTACAACTGAAGTAAAGAGTTATCTGTTATTGCTTTCTCCTGTTTGTTAAGGCAACAGCTTGTTGTTTTTGTAAGTCTAAAAACTTGAAGAAGCAATTTAAGCTTTTGGTGTTATTTTGTTTCTGTGATCGAGTTTATCTCCTTAGTGCAGATTGTAATTGGAGTATTCTTTTTGTTCTTACTTGCAATGTTTGTAGAAAGTCATGAATGTTGTAATGTAAAATTAAGTAATTTTGCACTTTATTGCAGTAAATGTATCTGTAATGTTTTTCAGTATCAGTTTAGCCACTAGATGCATTTCTGAATTACAAATGATCAACCTTCGAATATGGTTCTAGTAGCTTACACATTTCGTTTGATGACTCGAAGCTTGACTCCATGCTTGTAGTTTAGAATGATGCCATAGTCCAGCTCTATAGGTGTCTCCATCTTGGGGGAGTGTTGAAATACATAATGGCGGTATAGGTGGATGATCGAGAGCTTTATTTCTTGCATAGCGAATTTCTGCCCAATGCAAGCCCTTGGACCGATTCCAAAGGGTATGTGAGCATATGGATGCCTATTCTTCTCCTCTTTGCCATCCTGATCGAATCTTTCTGGCTTAAACTTCTCTGGTTCTGGAAAGTTCTTCGGATCCTTGGCTAGCACACCGGGTGCCAACCACACCCATGTCCCCTGCTCCCGCAAATAATTGCAACAATTTATTTACTCGCTCAAATAATATGTACCAAAATGATCAATGACCGTTCCAAAATTCTTACCTTAGGGAGCATATAACCTCCTATCTCAACTGGTGCTGCAGTTTCTCTTGCAATCAAAGGCGAAACTGTGTAAAATCTCATGGATTCCTTGATTACCTGCCAACAAAATGCTATTGTTATAAACATTCTTACAAAAATAAAATTGTGTTCAAAATGTATTCCTTTGAACAGAACACCACCTAGGACTTACCTGATCTAGATAAGGAAACTTATACTGAAGATCATGAGCCGAGGGGACCTGATCACGCGGTCCAAACCCATCAATCTCTTGAACCAACTTCTTCTCCACTTCAGGGTGTCCAGAAACAAGATACACAATAGAAGACAATGTAAAGGCGGTTGTAGCTGAGCCGGCTAAGAGGTGCTCATAAGCAAGTGCACTGATGTAATCTGAGTTGAACAAATTTCCTGACACTTTCTTAGAGTCCCTAGCACTTAATATGAGGGACAAGAAGTCCTTCAAATCTCTCTTCTCCTCAATGTCTCGCTTCATAACAATTTCATTAAGCCGGCTACTCAAATTTTTATTAGTCCTTTCGACTTTCCAGTCCATAGTTCCCGGTATCCTTTTAAGAACCTGCCTAAATGGCTCCTGTAAGATTGGGATTAACAGGCCTAATATGATCGAAAGTGATCCAGAGAGGTCCATTTTGAGTGTGGTTGTGGAATATATATGTTGATTGATGAAATCTGAGACTTCAAAATTTTTAGGTTGATCATTTGTTGAGTTTGGTTTAGAGAGGCCAAAGTTGATGCCAAATGCTGCTTGTCCAATAATGTCAGTGGCTAGCCTGAGGGAAATATTTGAAAATAGTACGTCGTCGTTGTCGTTGTCATTGTCATTGCCTTGTTTGTGAGGATGTAAATTGAGGTTTTGGGTTGCTGATTCTATGAAGGATTGCATGGTTGGTAGTAAACTGGCTAGATGAGAAGGTTGGTACATTGAAATTATCGTGTTCCTCATTGTTGACCACCTTTTATCCCTGTAAATTATGGAATTCTTGTAATTTGGCTTTATAAAATTAAAAGTTGCAAAGTAGATATAAATCATATAATAGGTGACACTTTAAAGGGACATTCCTACAAAGAGCAAGTATTTTTAGTCTCTTGGAGAGTAAAAAGATAAATGTACCATATTGCCATTTTTGTAACATTACCCAAAAAAGTAATTGGAATTATACTCTATTTCAATGCATGAAGTTGTTATTGTGGAGTAAAAGATTTCGAAAATGACACTATCATTTGTAGAAGAATGTAAAAGTCTAAAGATGCATCATTGATATGGTATCTAGTTTTTTGTATACAAAAACCAAAACCTAGATCATTTTAGAAGTACACGTGTTAGCTTTCTCAAATATATTTTTTTGCCAATATATTTTTGTTATGCTAAGAGTTTTAACATTAATGTTGAATAAAAGAATTCATAAAGAATTTTTTTTTTTTTATTTATTATTTTTTATAAAATTTGAAATCATACATTAATTTGCAATGGAGTATGAAGTACCATTTCAAAATGTAACAACTTTTTTGTTTAGGAAAAATGTAACAACTTCGTATGGGCATAGGTTGGGCCAAAAACCCATGCACCATGTTGGGCTAATTATGCCTTGAGAAGACACATCCCTATGTCCCTTAAATGAACCTTAATACCTTAGGGACTTGTATTTGGTCACTAACTAATTGAATTTAAATGACAACAAATTTGGCCAAAGTTTAATAAAATTAAATGCCAAAGAGTAAGGGATAGCTCAAGTGATTAGAGCTTTTCTCCCGATTTCAGTCAATCCTGGGAGTGATTATTCTCACCCCGCCCTTGTGGCTCTCTAAAAAGAAATGCCAAGCTCAAGACTTGAGAGTATAAACATTACCTGGTGAAGAATAGGCCTTTTTGGTGAAGGGGTGAAGCAGAAATAGGTGAAGGAATGCTTCTGTTAGGAATATATTTGAACTTTCTTATTCCAACTTCTCTGCATAACTCTGCATCTGCTATTATTACTAGTGGTTGTCTTCCCAAATGAAATCTACATTTTCACCACTATTCAAATTTAGGTACTCTAATAAATCAAAAACAATTACACACATATTGTTAACAAGCCATCATATAACCAAAACAGAAACTAAAGAAGAGAAAGAACCAAACCAAACCTGTAAATAGGGCCATAAAGCTTAGCTAAGGCGGCGAAAACGTCTGGACCATACTTAGCCATCAAATGAAGATGACCTACCAAAGGGTAAGGTGGAGGACCAGGCACCCTTCTAACCTTCCAATATGGTGCATACAAATAGTAAACCACTAACACACTGACTACTAATATTGCCACTAAACTTGAGGGCATTAACATGGGTGCCCTTAAAATGGAGGACACCCCTAAATCAACAACTAATAACAGCTTACTTAGAGCTTGATACATAGTGATTAGTAATGTTAATGAAGGTTTAATGAAGAGAAGAAATGGTGGTAGTAAAGAAGCTAAACACACAAATAAAGTGGTAAGACTTTCTATTTAAAGACATATTGATTAAATGTGTAACATATAATTTATATGTTTGTCGGTATTGGTTATAATAATCATTGTAGTTTTGACACTACTTAGTGGTGTATAGGTAGTGTCATGTTTTCGTTTGATGCTGTTTATTTAGAGGAAATTAAAGGTGAGAATTGATGGATTTCTAAGAGGAGTCCAATAAGGTATGTTTATGTAATTGATTGAAAATATTCAAGGTGACATAACCTGTTGATAAGTATATTAGGTGACTCGTACTTCGTAGCTTTGTCCGCCCGATCGGGCGGACATTGCCCGGTCTGACCGGGCGGAAGAAGAAGAGGTGCCTGACAAATTCGTTGAAGAAGCTGCTCTCGCGCCCGACCGGGCGAGCCTTCGCCCGACCGGGCGAGCCTTCGCCCGATCGGGCAGACCTTGCCCGGTCTGACCGGGCGGTGGGGGTTGGATACGTTGAAGCATTCGTATGGAGTTTTCTTCTCGCGCCCGATCGGGCAGACCTTGCCCGGTCTGACCGGGCGGAGAAGGAAAAATACGGAACGCGGATTTTGCGGTTTTAGGTTATCTTATTTTATTATCTTTTTGCCCAAGTATCTTTTAATTAGGGATTAATATAAAACCTCCCTAATATCAGTATTAGGGTTAAGAGAGACAGAGTGAGAGCCGTTCTTGAGAAATACAAGAATCATCTTTGTAATCTTTGCAGTTTATAGTGAAATCATTCAATCTCGGTGCCCGTGGACGTAGCTATCACATCGATAGTGAACCACGTAAATTCTTGGTGTTGTTCTTATTGTTTGCATTGAATTTCTTTATTGTTTTCTTGTTTGTTTACGACCTTTGCTTCCGCTGTCGCACAACAATTGGTATCAGAGCTCAGGTTCAATCCTTGGAGAGTTTCTTGAAGATAACAATGGCAGGAGATTCAACAATAAGAATTGAGAAGTTTACCGGGAAAAATAGTTTCGGGCTATGGCAAATTAAGATGAAGGCTCTGTTAAAACAACAGCAGATATGGCGTCCGTTGGCTCCAAAGAGTACTACTTCGGAGTCAGGAGACGGACCGACTGACTCGCAGTTAGAAGTTATGGAAGAGAAGGCACACTCTACCATATTACTTAGTCTTGATGATCAAATCATCACGGAGGTTGCTGATCAGGAAACGGCGGCTGGATTGTGGCTGAAGCTGGAGTCATTGTATATGACTAAGTCGTTGACCAACAAATTATTACTGAAACAGCGGTTGTTTAGCCTCCGGATGCAGTCAGGTACTTCCTTACGGGAACATCTAGAAAAACTTAACTCTATTTTGCTTGATTTACGTAATTTAGATGTTAAAATTGATGATGAGGATGCTGCGTTGATTTTACTTGTATCTCTACCGTCTAGCTTTGAGAATTTTGTAGAGTCTTTTGTTGTTGGTAAGGATTCTATAACCTTAGAAGAAGTGAAGGCAGCACTTCATACTAGGGAACTCAGAATGAAAGCTACGAGTGATAATGGGGATAATGGTAGTGGGTTATTTGTTAAGTCCGGAAAGTCTAAAAAGAATAAGGGGTTTAACAAGGGGAACAATGCTGGGTCGGGTGCTGGAAACGGCAAGGATGGATCTAGTAAAACTACTACTAAAACATGTTATTACTGTAAAGAACCGGGTCACTTTAGGAATAATTGTCCGGTGAGGAAAAACAAGTCCCAGGCTGCTGTAGTTGAAGAGAAACCGAATGAGAGCTATAATTCAGAGGAAGATTTAGCATTAGTCAGTTCTGCTAGGTCTGATGATTTATCTGATAACTGGGTTCTAGATTCGGGGTGTTCGTTCCATATGTGTCCACGTCGAGATTGGTTTGATACATATGAACCTCGCAATGGGGGTATGGTTATAGTCGGTAACAATGCTCCATGTAAGGTCACAGGTATTGGTTCCATGAGGTTGAGGACTGTTGATGGGCGGAGGTTAACTTTGACTAATGTACGGCATGTTCCTGCTTTAGGAAAGAATCTGATTTCATTG